CATAGTCCACTCCCTCTCGCCCACGGTCCCCTCACCTCCCGATCCCATGCTACAATAAGCTATTGAGTGGGTGACGGTGAGGGCCAACACAAACCCATGTCGAACCGGTGATAAAGGTAAACATGTTATGGTTGATTCTGCCATAGGTCCGAGCTCGCCATAGCCTCGGTGCCCCCTTCTAACATTGAGCCGATTGAAGTTCGATCCGGGCTGGCGGGTTGCAGCAACAGGGATACAAGTGGGCCGAGTAGCCACATTGTTGACCAAGGTAGACGGTAGGGCCATCGCGCTAGAGACGAACGCATCGGACTACTCGTGAAAATGGCTCTCCCGATAGACTTAATAGTGGCACGTCCGGACCTCCCATCATAGGGGTTGTCCCTAACAAGAGAGCCGAATGCTTAGAAGTTCCTACTTCCCTTGGGGACATCATTCCGGACCCCCCGATCGGACAAGAAGAATAGATGGTAACGGTGACTTCACCTAGGCGAGCGGCTAGCGAGAGGTGTTATAAAAGGCGAAGCGGGGGTCGAAGAGGGTCGGCCTCTTCTGCTCATCCATGTTATCTATAGCTGGAATATCGGAGGGCTTAGTAGCCCCTCGAAACAACATGAGACGAGTGTGTCTCATGAAGAAAATTAAGGTCGACGTGTGTGCCTTTGTTGAAACAAAACTCGGTTCCGCTAGGCTTGTCAATATGCATCGGTTTAGACTTAAGCAATGGAACTTCATGTCCAATGCTATGGTAGCGGGCACCGCCCGTATTGCACTCTTCTAGAATCCGAGAACCGTATCGGTTACTTTGTTGAATGTCTCTATCCAAGATGTCAATGTTAGCGTAACTAACCTTGTGCAACGAGTCGACTTTCAATGTTACTTTTGTCTACGGGTTACACTCCGTTATCGCCGGAAGAGGATTGTGGGCTAATCTTCGTCATTGGTAGCCGACCCGCCCTTGGCTTATTCCGGGAGACTTTAATTCTATTTTATCACAAGCTAACAAGCATAGGAGTACTCGTTGTCTCCCACTACGAAACCGCAGACTTCGAAGTTCGTCGCTCCGATCTTGGCCTACTCGGACCTTAACTATACAGGGAGCCATTTTACTTGGCATGGGGCTGATGTATGCACGAAAATCGATAGATTTCGGCCAACCCTTTATGGTCCTTCTCCAAGCAGCTCGTTCATGTTCATTTTGCCCCCGGCGCTTTTTCGAACCACTCCCCGATATTGGTACATTTGGGCTCTCGTGTTTCTTCTAAGACCCGTAGCTTTAAATTCTTTAATATGTGGGTCGTTAATGATGCTTTTCTACGAACTGTTGTCGACGATTAGGACGCTAGGTTCGGTGGCACCCCAATGTATAACCTCTGTCGCAAATTGAAATCACTTAATGAGCCTCTTAAGCAACCGAACGGACTCCATTTTAGCCATATCTCCCAAAGGGTAACTAGGGCCGAATCTGATTTGGCTACAATACGGTTCGAGCTTCACTCGGATAGAGATAACTTGGAGCTTAGTCGGACGGAAAAAGGCTCCGACTCCATTTGGATAACCTCAAAGCTTTAGAAAAGATGTTCTTTGGTCGAAACTAAAGTGCAAATTTCTTAACGATTGCAACAAAGGCACTAGTTTCTTTCATCGGCTCATGAACCACAAGCATAAAGCCAACTATATTGCTCGCTCTTCATCGGGGTAACGGGCGACTCACTACCTCTAACGCGAAGTAGGAGAGGAATTCGTTTCCTACTATCATAACCTCTTAGGTACCACCAAAGCTACGGTGCCCCACCCACGGATTGTTGCTAGTGGGCCTTGCTAACATACGGCCGGCCATGATCGGCTTCTCTCCTCGGTCACGGTGGACCTCATCAAGAAGACACTCTTCGAGCATAGACAATGACAAGGCACACGGCCCTAATGGGTATTCATCATTCTTCTTCAAACGAGCTTGGGAGATTGTTGGACAAGATTTTTGTGCGGCGGTTCAAGACTTTTTTGTATCCAGGCGGCTCCTTAAACAGGTTGGCCATTCTGTTGTAACTTTGGTCCTAAAAACGGCCAATGCTATCGTGCCAACTGACTTTAGGCCAATCTCGTGCTCGTAATGTCATCTATAAGGTCATCACCAAGATCATCTCCTCCCGGCTATCCTTGGCACTAATGGATATAGTCGATCCTATGCGGAATGCCTACTCGAGGGGTCAAAAAATGTCGGACAATATTTGTTTGGTTCGGGAGTTACTTCGCATGTATGGTCGAAAACGTGCTTCCCCGAGGTGCCTAATGAAGATTGATTTCCATAAGGCCTTTGACTCCGTGCAGTGGGATTTCCTAAAACAGCTCTTATTAAAATTAGGTTTCCCGGACATATTTGTTGGTTGGATTATGACATGTGTTGAATCGGCCTCCTACTCCATCTCGATTAACGGAGGCTTGTTTGGTTTCTTCTCGGGTAAGGCTGGGGTTAGGCAAGGCGACCCCTTCTCTCTCTACCTATTTGTGGTGTGCATGGAATACTTCTCTCACCTACCGAAGGTTGCTGCTAGGAATTTTGATTTTCGCTTCCATCCTCGGTGCGGGGTCCATGCCATCACCCACCTAGCATTCGCGGATGACATCTTGTTACTTAGCCGTGCCGATGCCGCCTCCATCAAGATTCCGACCAGCCGCTTGCCTATCTTTGAGAGTGTTTTTGGCCTAGCCATCAATGTGGCCAAGTCCTCCATCTTTTTTGGTGGGGTCGAAATGATCTAAAAGAATCCATCCTTTGAGAAATTGGGTTTTGTGAAGGTTCTTTCCCCTTCAAATACCTAGGGGTCCCTCTAAGCCCTCATCGCCTCGCTCTCTAGCTAGTTTGCTCCTTTGCTACATAGTCTTGATTCATCAATCCAGAGCTGGATTGGAAAACATCTATCCTATGCGGGTCGGCTAGAGCTCTTCGCATCCGTCCTCTTCGACTTGATACAATTCGGCTCGCTATTTTTCCTATGCCTGCTCGTGGTCATTGCATGCATCACCGGTATGTGTCATTGCATGCATCACCGGATGTCAATAGATGTTCTTCGGCTTTGGTGGCTTGGCGAAGCCTCTCGTTCCCCTAAATCTAAAGGGGGCCTTGGGGTATTTGACATCAAAGTAAAAAACCAAAGCTTTTTGGTTCAAAGGCTCGGGACATACACCTCAAGGTCGACTCTATTTGGATCCGTTGGATCCACCATTTCTACTTGTGAGGTCGCCAAGTATGGGATGCTTCGCCCACCGTAATGCTTCGCCACTTGTGGAAAGATATTCTTCATGTGAAAGACTTGCTTGTCATGAAATATGCGAGTAAAGATGCAGCTATATGCGAGCTTGCTAGGTGGAACTCGGGAGGAGGAAATTTCTTTAATGCTCGCATATACACGGCTTCGGCCGATTGGGGTGCTTGTGTGCTGGGGTAGGGTGATTTGGGAGTCATGGTCCCTACCTCGGCATTCCTTTATTTTCCGGCTAGCTACTAGGGGAGCCTTAAAAACTAAGGACCGTCTTCGGTTTCCGCCCACCACCGATGCATGCCTCCTTTGTGATCAAGCCTCCGAGTCCATTCACCACTTGTTCTTCTCCCGCGCTTGGACGACCAACCTCCGGTTGGCAATCAAGCAATGGCTCCGAATTCGCGAGGGTATGCATACACTCACTAGTGCGATCGGAGGCCTATCTTGTCGTCGTAACAACCTCGAAGCGAAAATGAGGAGAGTGGCCCTCGGTATCGCAGTTTATATCATCTAGGAAGAGCGAAACAGGCGTACCTTTGATGCCTTAGCCAATCACGGTAGCTCTGTGCGTTTCATAAATTCTAGATAATCTTCTACACGTTTTTCTACTTTCATGAATCGGACCCCCTCCTCTTATATGTGGGTGTGCCTTAATCTCCTATTTGAGGGCTCCGAGTACTATCCGGACAGATTGCTTCGTTTGGTCCCTTGAATTCGGGTCTTCTCGGGTTGCTTGGCTCCTCTAGTATGTTTTGAGTTGGTGGTTATGGGGCTGTATTCCGATCGTGGGTAGCTCCTCTTTGGAGCCCGTCTACTCCCTCTTGGTTCTTTTCGGCTTGTGCCATTGGCCTCTGCTGCCGATGATTGGAGTTAGTTTGAGCTTGCCTCTGCTGGTGGCTTACCCTTTTTTTAGGTTTGATTGTAGGTTTGCTTGATTGTTTGTGTGGCCTCTAGCTTTTGGTTTGGTGGGCTTCGGTTTGGTTGGATATGGGTCGTTTTGTGTGGGCTCAACTTTTGGTTGGGTTGGCTTCGGATTGTTTTTGGGTGGCTTCGCTCCTTGGCCTCTGCTGCTCGTTGGTCTTACCGTTTTACGCTATGGGTGTCCCAGTCTTAGCCGGCTTGATAGTTCCGTTGGGTTGGCCTACTCATGAATTAGGCCTTACTCCCATTCTGTTTGCCTAGCCTCGTTTCTCCGCCTTGTCTCGTTACTTCGCTCCGCTAGCCGTCGTTCCTCCTTCTTCTGCCGGTCCCTCCCTTCGTCGAGCTAGTAGATTCCACGATATGGATTCGGTTGTTTTTTCGCCTCCGGTTGTCTCTACCTTGGCTAGCTCGATTAGTCCGCATTCTCTTGTTCCCCTAACTGCCGGTCCATATCGATTAGGCTTCACAAGGCTAGCTCCTCTATCGTGCCCAAGCCTCTTTTTGTCTTGCGCTAGGCGGCCACTTCGGATGCTCCTTTGTGTTTGATCCTAGGCCTCCGCTACCGATGATTGGCGTTGGTTGACCTTGCCCTCGCTAGTGGCTTACCCCCTCGGGTTTGATTGTAGGTTTGCTTGATTGTTTGCGTGGCCCTTGGCTTTTGGTTTGGTTGGCTTCGGTTTGGTTGGATATGGGTTGTTTTTCCGTGTGGGCTCTGGTTTTTGGTTTGGTTGGCTTCTGGTTTGTTTTGGTTGGCTCCTGGTTTGTTTTGGATGGCTTCTGTTCCTTAGCCTCTCGCTGTCGTTGGTCTTACCGTTTTGCGCTATGGGTGTCCCGGCCTTGGTCGGCTTGATATGTCCGTTGGGTTGGCCTACTCATGAACTAAGCCTTCCCCCATTCTTCCCGCCTAGCTCTGTCTCCTTGCTTCTGCCGGTCCCTCACTTCGCCGAGCTAGTAGATTCCACGAGTATGGATTCGGTTACCCTTGATTCGGCTTCACTAGTCCGGCTCCTCTACCGTGTCTAAGCCTCTTTTTGTCCCGCGCCAAAGGCGGATACTTCGGATGCTCCTTTATGTTTGACCCCCCAGCCTTCCTCCCTCCCCCCCCCGTGTGGTTTTTTGCCCAGCTTGCCCCTTTGCTCGCCTATTGCTTCTGCTCCTACTTGCCGTTGTCCACCTCTTGTCATGTGGTTCTTTGTCCAGCTTTATGGATAGCCAAGCCTCGCGGCCCTTTGCTCGTCCGTGCGGGCAAGCCAGTCGTTGCCGCCGGCCCCGCTAGCCCTCGTTCTCGCTATGTTGTTAGGGTGCAATAGGGGTCCGCTTGCTCATACTCGTCGGCCACGCCCGCTCGCACCTAGTTAGCGGTGCCTACTCGACTGTAAGGCCTCCTTGTTCCGTGGTTAAGGACTTAAGGCCTCCTTGTTTCTCGTCACGCCAAGCTATTGTTGAAGCTCCACTGCATCCCGGACCTACTCGCACTATTAAGGTAGGCTCTGCTTGCCCCTCCTATTTTGGCAACGGCTAGCCCAAGGGCTCCTATCTTGGTCGTATGATGTTTTTCTCGTCGTATCCAAAATTGCTTTTGTACATGGTTAGGCTTTGCTCTTTTTTGCCCTCTCAACAAGGTTTTTGTCTCGTCGTTGAGGTTTTTTTAAAGCGTACTAGCTAGTTTCTCGCTTAGTTCTCGTTTGGTTTCTCTTGGAATCTTCGCTAGACCGATTCCTTGAGCAACCATCTAGACTTAGCTCCGGTTCCCGCTTCATGGAAGCATGTTCCCATTTTGTAAAACCTGTATATGTTACTCTTACTCGGCTATCCAACTAGTTTTACTTTGATTTATACACTTACATTTTAAATCAAAAAAAAAGAAAGAGCTCTCGGCAGTAGTAAAGTCAAGGAGAGAGAAGGATGAGAGAGACACTCTCCTCCCACCTTGGAGCTCCTTCCCTCCGGATCCGACTTGCTACCGTTTGGAAAGCTCGGCTTCTCTTATAGTTGGGTTTCCGGTTAGATTTGTTGATTGGATCGAGTTTGTGTGGAGTCGCCTTCCTATTCCATTTTGGTTAACGAGGGCATGTATGGGTACTTCCCGAGGGTGGTAGGAGTCAAGCAAGGTGACCCACTCTTTCCTTATCCTTTTGTGGTTTGCGTGGAATATTTCTCTCGTTTGCTTCGGGTAGCTACTCGGAAACTCTAGCTTCGACTTTCACTCGAAATGTGGGTTTCATGCCATCTCCCACTTTGCATTTGAAATGATGTTTTGATGCTCTACCGTGGGGATTTAGCCTCTATGCAGACTTTTGTCCAATCAACTCTCTCTTTTTGGTGTAACCTTTGATCTTACCATCAATGTGGCTAAGTCTTTGATTTTCTTTGGTGGGGTGAGTGACGCCTTGAAAGAATCAATCCTCCACGAAATAGGGTTCGTGAAGGCTCCTTCCCCTTTAAATACTTGGGGGTCCCTCTTAGCCCACATCGCTTACTCGCCAATTAGTTTGCTCCTCTCGTTCCACAGCACTGGAATCTACAATTCGAGTTGGATGGTTAAGCACCCGTCCTATGCGGGGAGGTTGGAGCTACTCAAGTCCGTCCTCTACAAAAAGATCCAATTTTAGCTCTCGGTTTTTCCTATGCCTCGCTACGGTTATTAGCCATCTTACCGGTATGTGTCATAACTTCTTATGGACTCGGAGATGTACGGAGGAGTTCCTCTCGCATTGGTTGCTTGGAAAGGCCTTTGCCTTCCACAATCGAAGGTGGGTTATGCCTCTTTGAATCAAAGTGAGAAATCAAAGTTTCATATCTCGGCGTCTTTGGGACATTCACTTAAAAGTGGACTCCATCCGGATACGCTGGATTCACCATTACTACTTGCAAGATCATCGGGTTTAGGACGTGGAAGCCCACCGAAATGCTTTGCCCTTGTGGAAAGCTATTATAGATTTGAAAGATTCGCTTGTTGGGAAATACAATGGCGGTGATGAAGCTATTAGAGAGCTAGCTCGGTGGCACTTGGGTGAGGGACGCTTCTATCATATAGTGTATTCCAAGCTTAAACCATTCGAGAATACGAGTGAACTGGAGCCCCGTGACTTGGGAACCCCGGTCCTTGTTGAGGCATTCCTTCATTATATGGCTTGCTTCTCGAGGTGCCTTAAAAACTAGGGACCGTCTCTCGCTTTCTCCCTTCCAAGTGAAGCATGCCTATTTTGCCATCAAGCTAACGAATCCCATGGTCATTTTTTTTCTTTTGTAACTCGGATAGCTTCACTATGGTTGAAAATTAAGTAGTGGCTTAGAATTAGAAGAGGTCCGACTACGCTCAATCGAGCCCTTCGATGCCTCTCCATCCGTCGTAACAATCTTAAAGCGCGAAGAGGCGGGTTGCCCTAAGTATTGCAATCTACGTAATCCGGGAGGAATGTAACGGGCGTGTCTTTGATGATTTGTCAAGCTCGATTGACGAGTGTGCTTCGAAAATTTCAGATTCTCTTCTTCATGGTTTTCTACTCTCATGAGTCGGACCCCCACCTACTCGCATGTGGGATAGCTTTGATTTTATGTTCAGCTAGCCTTTATTTTTTCTTGCACCCTCTACCGGTCCGGTTGCGGGCTTCCCGGTTGGTTGGCTTTCGGATCAATGCCTCCGTGGTCTCGCCTCTGTATGGGCTCGCATTGGCCGACTTGTTGTGTTTGCTTGCTCTCGGCCTCCTGTTTAGGTTCTCCTCTCGCTTCGTCTCACCATCTCGGTGGCTTCACCGGCCTTGGTCTACTACCGTGTTCGAGCCTCCCCTTCGGTAGTTGAGGCCAAGCCTAGCCTCCTCCTCGGCTTGTCCGGATCTTTCCCCGGTTTGGACGTCCGCCTTCACTTGAGAGCCCTACTAGTTGGTCTTGCCGCTGGTCTCAAGTCCATGACCTCATGCTTTTGTTTTCGCCAAGCCTATCTATTTTTGCTCGATAAGCCCACTAATGAGGTTTTCAAGCACTCGTCATCATTCTACCACTTATATTCTCCAAGTTTTGTGTAGCTCCAACTTCGACGTCCGCCTCTTATCGAGAGGTCGCTTTTGGTTCCGTCCGGCTTCCTCTACTATTAGCGCCGGCCGACTCCTGCTTCGGCGAGCCTAGCCAGGCTATAGAGGTCTCGCTATCGCTCCCGTAGGTTCCTGTTTCTCGCTATGCTAATAGCCGATTCTTGGATGTCCTTCCCGATCTTAGCTTTCGCCTTCTCCAGCTTTTCGCTGCTTGCTCTCTGCTAGGTTTTGTTTTCAACTCGTACTTATAGCTGATTTTGTAAATTGGTAGTTCTCCTTCATTTTTGCTTTCTCGACTAAGTTTTTGTATGCTATTAAGCTTTTGTATATGGTTCTAGCTAGCTTCTACTAGTTTCCTGTTTGGTTTTTCTTGGAATCTCTGCTAGTTTAATTCCTTGAACAACCATCTAGATATAGCTCGGTTCAATTTCTTTGGGAGCTCGTTCCCAATTTTTGTAAATCATGTATATTTACTCTTGCTGGTTCCCCGGATGGTTTCACCTTTGATTTATATACTTACATTTAAATCAAAAAAAAAAGAAAAAGAAAGCTCTTAGTAAGAGCAAGCCTAGAGTGAGAAAGAAGAGAGAGATGCTCTCCTCCTTCCATGGAGCTTTTTCCCTCCGGATCCGCCTTGCTTCCATTTGAAAAGCTTTAATCCGACTCGTTTCCATTTTCCATGGTATAATTTCTTATTCTCGTTCCATTTTCTTGGTCCTTCTCTTTTTAGCTTACCAAAAAAACTTTCCCCGCCCACTATTTTCTCTCTCCCCAACATTTTGGGTTCTTTTCTCTAATGGCAAAGAAGAAATGGAAATCCACGACCACAACTCCTAAGGATGCTATACAAAAAGATTCCGATTACCCTATCATTGCCCTAGAAGCCCTAGCCTCATCAGTCCATCCTCCAAAGGAATCCATCCCCCTCTCTCCCCAATCGCCCAAAACCCTAGATCGCAAAAGGGATATCCCCTCCAAATCTGCCTTTAACCAATCCCAAGCCCCAACTTCGGTCATGAATCCGTTGAGGTCGAGGACTGCTCGGAGGAGGATGAGTTTAGTGAAGAGGAGGTGGGCCATTCCGATTTAGAAGGACCGCACGAGTCTCAATCCCATTTCTTCGAACAAGACTCGCCTATTTTGGATTCTAGGGAAGCAATCGATACCTACCAAATTGCCATAGGCTCTCGACTGCATTGTAACTCTCCATATGCCCCCGGCCTAAACTTGCTCGTAGAAGTCACCCCACCCTTGTCCCCATTGTCGAGACAACAAGCAATCGAAACGAGGGCTCACGATTGTGAAGCATCCAAAGCAAGGACAGTTGAATCTCCTCCTCCTCCAACTAGCAAGTGGAGAGACTTGTTTGTATGTAATCGAAACTCAACCTTGTGTCCTAAATTGTCTCGTTTTTCTACTATCACTCAATCAAAACAATGCATTCTACTTAATGATGATACCGAATGTGAGTTCGGAAATCCTGCCTAGTGGGATATGTTGCTCGGTAGAAATCCGAGTTACCATGCCCTAAATGGAATCATAAAGGATACCCGGAAATGTGCTCGCTACTCTAACAGTTCATGAATCTAGATGGCTAATTTATAAATTCCAATCGAAGAAGAAAAGGTCTCGGTGCTTAATGGGGGACCCTATCTAATTTATGGGCGAGCTTTGATTTTGAGACGAATGGCTGAATACTTTGATTTCTCCAATGCTCGAAATGGCCACCGTCCCTGTTTGGGTCAAGTTTCCAAACCTCGCCATTAAAATGCTAGTCATCTCTATGTTTGTCAAAGATTGCAAGTATGCTTGGCAAACTAATCCAATGTGACAGATTGACCGCCTTAATGGATCGTCTATCCTATGCTATAGTACTCGGTAGAACGGAATATTATGGAGACTCTGCCGTAGATTGTCAACATATTATTACCAAACGGCACTCGCCCTCTTGCAACCAGTAGTGTATGAGACTCTCCCAATACACTCGTAAAAAAATGTCGTATTCTTGGCCACTCCACAAATGCATGCAAAAATTAGACTACTCGAGATTTGACTAAAGACACCATAAATGGCAAGTGAAGCGACAGGCGGACAAGCCAAGTTCAATGTGTTCTAGCAAGCGGATGATTCCGCCAATGCTTACCATATCGAAGCCCAAATGTATACTAACCTTATGCTCCTTGAAGTAGCGAGATGCTTCCAAGGAATGGGCGATAGTGCATAGACACAAACACTCATGCAGGGGTGCTAATAAAGGAACCGTACTCGCTCAATTCCGA